GATTTATGACAGGGCTTCTATGGCCCACTTTCACGGCTGCTGGTAACATCCCTACACGAGACGCCAAGCATTCCGGCCCCGTGATGTCACAGCCTTCAAAGTGAAAACAGACTAAAAGTTATTGATATTTTCTTGGAGAAGGTCAAAAGAAAAGATGAGTCACTCAGATTAATTATATTGATTATTTAAAAAAATAAAAATATATACATTTTAAAGCTGCAGTCCGTAGATTTTTTGGGGTTAAAAATGATCCAAAATACATATTTGAGCAAATACATAACCAGCCAGTGTTCAAAACTATCTGCTTGCCTTAGCTCGATTCAAAACGGTAAGCTTGTAATAATGTTTTTAATTTTAGTGGTACTGGTGGATTTCCGCGGGAGATGCGAGCATGTCTTTGCGTCATTACGTCACATCTGTACACATAAAGAAGGAGTCTCGGCTAGTAGGCTATATTGCGAGTGAGGATGCTGGAGGTGGAGATTTATAGCCTTTTCTCACAGCACTTGATATAATTAAACTTATCAATTTGATGGCGGATCCAGAAAGGTTCAAACGACAATCACCAGTGACAACAGATTCACCCGCTGTAAAATGCAAAAGACTTCGTTCGGACTTCGGAGTGGCTACAGAAAAAGCAACCGGCCCATGCGAAAACAATGATAAATATCGGAAGGGCATTACATGTAGTCACGCAATGCTGACGTTGTTAACATTAACAATGTGAGAACAAAGTATAATTTGCATGGTTTTCCGTGATAAGCGATTTTTAGATTTAATCAGCACGATTTACTGCAATGTCAGAACCAGAACAAAGGTGGATGTTTCTTACTTGTTCAGACGACCTTTCCTGGTGAAAATTATTATGTTGGTCATACTTCCAAAAAGAATAATCTGTGATTCTGAATGCCAGTATCGACACCGGCGCGGCGACTGACAGCTGCACACTCTCCTCAAACACTGTGTTCATCCGTGCCGTGTCGAACTACAACTCAAGTTAAGTTGATAATTCCACGAATGACTGCAATTGCAGATTTCGAACAGAGATGGCGACAAAGAGGAAAAACTGCGGACTGCATGTTTAACTTTAAAATGTGGCGCTCATGATTTCATGGTGTATTTATTGACAACATGATTATTTAAAAAATAAGAATATTTATAAAAGATTACATTTTTATCTTTTATATTAGCTAAAAATCAGCAAGAAGCAATGCAGTGGCCAAAAAAGAATTTGAAGCTTATTAGATTTAAGTCTATTTTAGACACTTTAGATAAAAGTGTATTTTGCATTTTATATACAAATAATAAATAAAATAAATACAGACATACATTCATTTATTTGTTTTGCTTACATTTATTGATTCACTCTCATTTTTACCAAACTGACGAATTTGGTCACTGAATACCATCTTGGTGATTTTCAGGGCACTTTCCCACTTGGTTCGATTGCCTGTTCAGAGTTCGATTAATGCTCCCCCTCCCCCTGCCCCCGATGGACTGTGTTCACATTATATTCTCATTATATTCATTATTCTCATTATTCTCATTATATTCACATTATATTCGTCAAAATGGATAGAATTGCTCGCTTCACATTTGTTGTTCTTTTTTTTAACCTTTGGTTTTGTTTTCAAAGAAAAGATACAGAAACACACGTCTGTCTGCCGCAAAAGTACTAAAATTGTTCCAAAGACAGCGGGCTGTCCATCGAAGACAATTTTTGCGGAGCCAAGCAGAAATCATCTCTCTGCTTGCAGTGCGTCAATCCCGCTTTTCGTCAAGTGTGTACACACACACACACGCACGCACAAAAGAGCTAACCTTTATGAAAACGAATCAAATATTTTGTAAAGTTAAGTTTTAGGATAGGAACTTCATAAAAATGGTACGACTAATGTTTTGATGTTTACTTGTGTTTAGTTTTCACTTTGATAAAATGTAAAATAATATCTAGCCTACTGATAATACACAATAATACACATATTTAATAAATGAGCTTAAATATGATTACTACATTCTTGTTTATAGAATAGATCATGTAAAGCTTTATTTCTAATATTATTAGTCATCAATAGCGGTTCACTTCCGCGAGTTGGTACGATTGTATTCATTTCAGCAGCGAACCGTACTGGAGTTCACATGAATCACCCCAGACCACCCTTTAAGCGGACTCGAGTACGGTTCGCGGGTGCGCACCCGAGTTCGGAAGACAGCGTTCACATCATCCAAACGAACCGAACTCTGACGTCATTCAAAACCAAATGCGCTAGTGTGAAAGGGCCCTCAGTGTCTTGCACAATGAGCACCATATTTTAAAGTTACATTTTCGAACTACTTTTTGAGGTGAAGTGGTTCAGTATGATGTTATTTACTATATTACTTTGGGTGACAGAGGCCACATACACGGTTGTCAATTCACCTTGTAGTGCTTTATCCTGGTCTCTATTTTAACGTGCATCAGAGATGTTTCTCTCTTCTGTATGTGCGCGGTGCAAGAAAAATCACATGGGGAAGAGGTACGAGCCTTGACTCACTCGTGTTGCCAGATCTTGCTAGAAAAACAGTGAACAAGAACATCCTCACAATAAACCAAAATAAATCCAAATGCTTTATGCTGAAAATAAAACCAAAATATCACGACCCGCACCTGCTCACTTTAATAGCTTAAATATCAAGCCCAAAAACGCTTATAATAAGTGGACATGGAAACATTGCAAGAGCATGCTCTGTGAAGCAGCCTTATCAATCATAAGCAAAACACGACACTTCCGTCAACTGTGCTTTAGTTAAAATTGCTGAACTTAACTAGTCTTTTGTCGCTGTAATATTTCATTGGTGTTTCCTACACACACGGAATGATAATTTAGGAGACTCACTCCTGTATTTAAATAGTTTGTTACTACTGAAACTTTACAGTGCGTGTAAGCGGCCAGAGTAAGCAAAGCTCTCTTGAACCCTTTGGAAAGCTCTTCAAACACCCTGCAACTGACCAGTCTCCTGTGTCCGTATCAGCAGGGTGCCTTCGGCGAGTACAGGGGTATTGATTAATCAGACCTCTGCTTTGTGGAGTGCTGATGGGCAAACAACACTGACAGGCGTGCCAGCTCTTGTGGCAATCAGCACAGACATGAGAAGTGTGTGTCAGTGGGTGTGTATGTACGTAACAGTCAGATGTGGTCAGAGTGTGTGTGTTTGCAGCCAGGGACAGTGTTTGACAAACATCGCAGTGTTGTGAAAGAGGTCAACAGGCTCGATCATAGGGTCTGCTAGGGTGACTCGATTAACTCCTGAATGGCCAGGATACACTTACTCTGTTTCAAATTCTAGTGAGGTGCCAAAAAAAAATATCAGGGCTATTATCGTTAACTAAAACTATTTAAAAAAAGGTTGTTAATTAAAATATAGCTGAAATAAAATCAAATATAAACATTAGATGAAAAAATGAAACTTAGAAATGTTGATTGAGCCACTAAAATTACAAATTGAAAATAAATAACAACTAAAACAGAAATAAAAAATAAATGAAACCTAAATGGTATTATTTGCACACAAAAAAGAACACTAAAAAAAATGACAAACGCACATAACAAAATTACCAAAAATTTTTTTTTTGAAAATATAAAAATAAAGGCTAATTAAAAAATTCTAATAAAATTCAATAAATTATAACACTATTGAAAATAAATTCAAGATGCTGGATAAAACATGGGCCTTGTGTGGCCATGGGTCAGTTATGAATTAAAATTTGATTCAATGCTATACAAAAAAAAATGATAAATAGTTCAGAGTAATTAAAAATTTATTATTTTACCCAATATTAGTGTGTGCTATATATTTTTAAGCTTATTAGCTAATCATGCAGTTACCTTAGCAATCTGCTGACGTCAAACTCAACTAAAATCAATTTTGGGTAGAGTCTCCAATAAGGGTGCTCCGATTGATCAAGAGACGATCATTATCGGCCGATAATAGCTTTATATAGTTTGATCGGTGGTCTCTATGAAGGCAGATCAGAAGAGTTGATCAGATGACGCAAAACTCACAAGACAATTTTTTCTATGTGCAGCTAAAATCGGTTCACTACATTCACCGGTCTGGCAGTTCTACCAGATTTCTGGAAAGGAAAAGAAATTTGCAATGTCTTTATGGAGAGAAAAGACATAGCAACAACAGCAACCCTACAGCAATGACAGCAATAATCTAGGGCTGTGTGATTTTAGTGCATGTCTTTCCTTCACAGCGGTGTGCTTTCGTTCCTCCCTAAAAGCCCAAACTTACAAATGTCCAAATCAGCTAGATTAGTGATTGTCATAAAATACAGTCTACTGTTGCTAAACTGCAGAATGTGTTCGATAATAAAGAACGTTATAAAAACTGCATTAAGCCACAAAAGAGATACTTTTCTCCAGGTGTCTTTCTGTGTGAGACGGAGTGGAACAAGCAAAGTGAACTTTGAGCTTCGGGTTCGCGCCTAAATAATGGCCAAATACTCACAGAAATATGTCAAAATGCCCGGCTTGGTGAGTATTCACTTAAACACTGTCAGCTATGTCTTAAGTGAGCAATAACAGTTGGGAAATAAGACGCATATATGTCAGTATATTGGATCTGTGCAATAGGTCTTAAAGTGACAGCAGCCTAATATTCCAGCTGCTCTGTCTCATTCATGTTAAAAAAAAAAGAGTTGTTAAGATTAGTATTATTTATTTTATTGATTGGTATCAGTGATCGTATCGACCAATACTGCTTCCAGTGATCTGTAATCGGTGATCGGCCCCAAAAATCCTGTACAGAGCCCCCTCTAGTCTCTCAAGCAGAGCAATTTTTGTGCAGCATGCCATGTTGTTTCCCCATGTTGAACATTTAAAATCAGTCACTTAATAGTTTCCATGACAGTTAGAACAGAACGACCTAGTATAACTACTGTTACTAACTAATGAAGCACTGCAACTGTGCAGTCACAGAAAGGCCCGGCATAATCTTTGCTAGTGTTTACTAACCATGTAGTGGTGATCCGGATGGGCTACTGGAAAGGCCAGGAATGGGGCTACATCGGCCGCCCTGTTTGCTGCTCAGCTCTTGCTCGATTTCCTCCAGTCCGGCACTCTTCTGGAAGCGGCTCATGCGATTGACCACACGGGGAGACATATGCGTCCGTGCGCATGGCGCTCCACCATATGGGTTGATGGGAAAGACATGCGAGGTGCCACGAAGAGTACTGATGACCACCCAGCGGCAGTCATGGCTGAAGCAGATGTCCTGCACCTAAAGTGGTTAGAGAAGAGATACGAATGTAAGCTCAATATAATAAGCTCCTTTGGTTAAGAATCAAAAATATAAAATCATCATTAAAATCAATAATATTGTCATTGCAGAAAGTTGTTTGACTGTAGCATCTTGGGTGAACAGTCCGAACATTAAAGCAATGCCTTTCCTTCAAAATTTCAGAGATCTTTTCTTCTTTATTGGGACGTACATTCAAGTGAAAGACAACTGAATGTGAGCTTGCAGTCGACTGTAAGAAAGGGCCAATTAAAAATGACCAGCTCATAAATATGAATCATTCACAATAACATTAATAACATGCATTTTTAAAATGGATAGGATGAATCTTTATTTCATGCCAACTTTAAGGAACGCAACCTGAGTTCTGTAGGAATTTTCTCTGGTGTTGCAAGTCGTGACATTATGTTTTCATAAATAGCTTCTGGTAAAGACGAAAAGATATAATCTTTAAAAAAATGTGTTCTGGAATGGTTGAAAGGAATTAAAGTGAGGTGTTGGTAATCACAGCAAGGTGTTGGGGTGGAGAGGTTTCGGAACTGATCACCAGATATTGGTTACTGCCATGAAAAACCTGAATTTCTAACCTGGCTTTTGTATGTATTAAAATCTCACCCCCGACAAACCATCAAACTGCCAAAACAGTGCTTCCTGTGTGTTTTATAAACACAATAACACATCCTGTGTTACAACTCCTATGTTCAGTCTATGCTATTTTAAAAACTGTTGGTCTATGTATACATGTGCAAGATGGGCGTTTAGTCAAACCCTGTTTTTTCAGCATCTTGCGCCATGAGCATTGTTTTATAAGAGAGCATCTTGAAATCCTGTTCTATCTGTTTTGGAACACAAGAACTTGTCCTAAAGTAGCTCTATGAATTGATGGTGGGCTTTCCCCAAAACATGGTCCAGAAATCTTACACTTGACTTTACCAAACAGCACTCTGCTATCAGCAAGGTTCAGCTAATGGCTTTTTTATGGCACTTTTTATGGATAGCCATCAGCTACTGGAATGCAGCTGTCTGGAGATCTGTCTGATTCTAGGTCATTCTGCTCTATCTGTCTCAGATCCGTCTCAAGCTGAATACGCCAACCAGGAGATGAGCAAACGAGTCAAGATCTGTGACCACTTCCTGTTCAGGGACAACGCCAATCCGTTCATTTTCCCTAGAGGTGCAAAAATAAGATTTAGGCAACCAAAGACAAGGACTGGTATATTTCAATTGGTTAATCAGACACACATCAAATGAGGTGTTTGGCCAGTCATGTGCTACTCAGAACAGCTTAAATGGTGTATGGCTTCAGGCAACGCGGGCTGGTAGGTTATTTACCTTCAAGCACACTAAGGTCAGCTCGGAGCAGGTTGGGAGTCAGTAAAAGCACAGTCAGCCAGCCAGATAAGGCCAGGTGCCTGTGTCCGCCCACGAGGCATTATCACTCCTTTTATTTGTTCTGCTCAAGATAATGCGTCTTGGAGGGTGCTTGCTTTATGCAGTTTGCACTGTTTACAATGCCAGATCAAAGCCAACGCATGGCCAGGCAGCAAACCTGGCATGAGCCGGTGACAGATTAACCACCTTTCTCATCTCAGCAGAGCTGCGGGCCACCATGGCCCTGTGCTTACAAAGGAGGGAAAATGAGAATGTTTTACACACTCGGTTCCAGCTCTCTGCCATGCCTGGAGGTACCGGCTAAGGTAATCACACCTTCAATATAAGGAGCAGGTACGAGAGGAACATAAACTTCACCCACGGGCCAGTACCCAGCTTGCAATTCTGCATTTTTGACTCACTCAGAGTGCACTTGAAGGGTAAAGGGACAAAGCGATAAAAAAAAAGAAAATACTATAATGGACATAATATACAAAAAAATGGCATTAGTAGTTAAAACCAAGTCTTTTTATAGACATAACACTTGATTGTGCTGCAGTTATATGGTACTCATATGAGAATAACATACAGTGAAACAGTTTTTATTCCACTGCAGTGTTAATATTTGTCATGTAAAGAAGGATTTAAATTGGGGAAATATGTCTGGCATGCTTTTAGACATCGAACGTAAGAGTGAGAGTCTATGAACTAGAGCAGAGATCAGGTTTGTGTGCATATCCAAACATGACACTAGCTGAGTAAGTAAGGGTCTAGGCCCTTTCTGAATAAATATTAGTTCTACTTAAGCAAATAAAACCTTACAATTTGCCAACTGAAGGAGATATTGTGGTGGAACAGCTGCAAGGCTGAATGGATGAAACAGCATTTAGGAGAAAAGAAAACTAAATCACTGCAGTTATTTCCCAAACTGATTTGTGCAATAACCCAATAGATCACAAAAGTAAATTAAACTTTTAAGCACCCAGATAGATTACCACGGCTTGGCAGACGCTAATGATCAGATCATGTCCTTAGATGTCCGCTTAAACTATTCAACCTGAGTAGTGTTACATAAAATACAAAAAAAGGCATGTAGATTTGACCATCATCTATTGGTTTAAAATACTACTACCAGGATGATCAATATGTTAGATTGAGACCATTCATTGCCTTAATTTGACTAGTAAAAAGAAAAGAAAATAATTGAAAAGAAAATAACTATTAAAAAGTAGAAAAATATTTAAATGAAATAAATAAAAATAAAATAAATAAATAGAAATACATAAGAAAAGTCAAGTAAAGTCAAATAAAAAATGTGGGGCAATGTTTCAAATTGTACTACTTGAGGAGAGATGTGCTGTCAGTTCTCCAAACAATAAAAAAAATACAAAGGTTTCTGTTTCAAATAACACCATTAGTTGTTCTAGATTTGTCATTTATAAAGCTGGGCTAAAATGGGCAATATTCAGCGCTGCCCAAGGTCTACTGTATTTCCAGGGATTTAAGAAAGAGTTGTGTAAAGTCACAAGCGCAACCATGTTGTCCCAGTGGGAATGTCCTCTTGTCCATGACCTTATAGCCTAAGATATCATAGGTGTTACAAGTCCCAAGCTTGACCCCAAGGTGCAAGAGTAAAAGCTCGGTCAGGAGCACAATCTAAGCTCTCACCAGCCGTCTGAGGTATTTTTAGCAACTTTTCTCTTTTTTCAGCCATGGTGATTGAAAACACATTGGCAACACTAATAGTTTCAGGTCTTCAGATTCCAGAGTGTTGAAAACTGAACGTGGGAGCCACAGGGGAGGAAGTTTTAGAATAAGCAAAGACTAACCGCTGAGAGCCCAAATATTTCATGTGAATCCATGTAATTTTGCTTTGTACTGGGGGCAAATGTTCTCCAGGTACAAAAAAGAATCTTTTGTTGATGGACAGTTATAACCACAAAAAAAAAGAAAGAAAGTCAAGAACTGACTAAACTTAAAATATATATATTAATTTTGAACAGTAACACAATTTCAAGATACAGTGACGCTCACATTTTGCATCTATAACACAGTAGCGAGGGGTCATGTATCTCATAGTCAGGTTTAAGATCAAACAGATGGGTCATACTCACACTTTTTGTCGAACACACACTGCCTTACACACTACAAAAGAGCCAGAAACAGCAGTGCTGGAGCTCAGTGGTACCAAGCCTTATGTCTCCTGACAGTATTTAGATAATACGCAAGGATTCACCAACGATGAAAAGCATGTTCAAATTGCACATTTCCAGAGCCATACAAGCACAGGCAACCGTAAACAGTTGTGGGTGGCCCAAAAAGACTTTAAATGATTATGCTAATGATTAAAAGAGTCCGGAAAGGCAATATTTCATCTCAATAACTCCCCCGAAAATAGCGTGAGCGTACATAGGCATGTGTGTGAAAGCAAGGGATGGGACGGGAAGCTTTGAAGTTTGACTTAATATCCCACACTGTCCATGTATTACTTGAACGCAAGACAGCTTCTTTTTTTGATGTTGATATATATTCCATGTGGAATATGAGTTTATGAGTTTGGACCAGTGGCGTAGCCAGAATTTTATTTTTGAGGGGGCCACAATATTATATGTATATATATATATATATATATATATATATATTTATATTTATTTATTAGGGATGCTCCAATACCACTTTTTCCAGATCATGTCCGATACCGACACATTTATTTTTAGTATGATACCTGTATTTTCAGTGCATTTTTTATTTTATTTTAATCATTGGGCAGAGAAACCAAAATAATATGAATAAAATGCGTTGGCTTGGCAAATTTCCTGCCTGTTAAAATGTATTGTAGGAGCTACTGTTACTTTCATTGTTCATATTATTGCTCTGCCATATTTTATCTTTAATTTAATAGCACAATGAATATTTAGAGCTGCTCCTGCAGGGTTCAACCTTTGTTAACATTGAGGACAAAGACAGCATTAGGTATGTTAGGCTGCTGTCACTTTAAGAGCTACTCGTATCCAATATACTGTTACACACACGTTTTCTTTTCAACGGTTTAAGTTCACTTATGACATAACAGACCATGTTTCACAAGGATACATGCCTATATGGGCATTTTGACATAATTATGTCTGAATTTGTCTGTTCAAAGAAGACATGAAAGAGAACTCCATTCAATAGGTTTTTCACGCACTGTCCAAGAGGCAGCTTTTCTGGGCACGCACTTCGGATGTTTCAGATGTTTTCTCTCTCTCGCTTTACCGACAATTAACGTTTTTAAATATATACCTTGTTTTACTTTTTTTTGCTATTACCATACCCGACCGAACTGCAAACATTCCAGCGATGTCTATGAGAAAGGGATGTGCGCTCGACGAGCTTATGCGCGTCTGTGCCGCTGCGCACTCAATCCATTTTTGTTTTATTTTAGCAATCAGAAATCTGACATGTAAATGATTGGGCCTAGGCACACCCAGGCACCCTCCTGTCAACGCTATTGGTTTGTACCATATGGATGTACTAAAGGACAGTGCATTTACATAAAAGCTTTTATGTAAATGGGGACATACACATGTATTCTTACCTTAGCCTCAGTCTCTCCTCTGTGAAGAGTGTATAGATGATGAACTGCACTCTGGGAAGACGCCCATGGGTGAGTCAAGATTTGGAAAACATGGAAGTCATGACCAAGGGTGTCTGTGGTCACCAATAACATACCTGTAGATCAGAGAAGAGCCATTTATTGTACCATATTGGACCTTCTAAGCAATCAAACACTACTTCTCACAGTTTTGGTGACACAGGAAGTATTGAATTGAGGGCTGTCAATCAATTTTAAAAAAGCTATGCAAATAATTAATCACACTGTGATAACAATTTGCAGCAGCACGATGAAGGGCACATAATTGGCATAAATATATAACGCTAGTAGCCACAGGAAGTGGGGATTTTGCATTACGTTAATTTGAATTTTTATTAATTTATTTGATTGTTTATTGCATTAATTTCTGCAGTTAATATGGACCGCTTAATGCAAGTAACAGCATTTTTTTCCACTCCCTGATGCTACACAATGTTTTTCCCCACTTCCTATAGCTTGTGTTATATGTTCATGCTAATTATGCACCCTTCGTTATATTGCTTTCTTCAGCCCCATGATTTTTTTTAGAACTAGTTATCTATTAAATCTTATTTGGGTATACCATTTTCATTTGGTGATCGCCAATGTGACCAAAATCAACTGTGGTCTATCGATTAGTCTGTGTGCTCCAAAAAACTATCAATTGAAAGTGCTAGGAAGGGCCATACATGTTGTGGTCCACTCTAAATATATATACATAATCATGTCAACATTTTACTTGCTACAATGCAAAAGTACTGGGCTTAAACTGAGAAGAACAAAATGCAAAACAATGGCACCCAGATTGCCTATAAGTATTGAACATTTCATGAGACACGTTTACATGGTTGTAAAGGGCAGTCGAGTTCCACTGCAACTTGTGTTCTAGAATTAACTGCATGCCAAGATCTTCCCTCAGCTGTCAGGGCCAGAGTATGTGGATCTGTTTTAAACACAACCGCAGGAGAACCCAAGTGGAACCTCTGATGACAGGGCCTCTCATTTTCCCACTTTTATTTGAAGTAAGTGAAACTACAGAAATTATAAGCTCTTACTGTAAACAACACACTTACTAAACCACAGCACAAGAAAAAACCCGAAGCGAACCTTCATGGCAACGCAACCCCACATACAACTTATTCCTAAAAACAGTGTGACAGCTCTACAGGCTATTTTCCACACACATGAAAGTCTGGTCACTACCGCTTTGGAAAGTTTCTCCAACACTACGATTAAGATGGATTTAGCCACTGGCTCTCGATCTCACTGCTGTAATTTAAGATGACAATAATTAGTGATCTTCCAATCCTGAATCTCTAATGCAGAGTTCACAGAGGGGTTTAATTTGTGGCGAGCATTAATTTTGTGGTCTGACAAATCTAAAAAGGAGGATATTGTTGGTAGATCAGACAAACTCTTACACACACACGACAATGGAACAGCGGCAGTCCTAAATGAGCTCATCCGCCCTATTTCTGCCTATGTTATTTTCATTTTCACACTTCGGAGTAGCATCTGCTTTAGGTGTGGCTTTGCCATCTCATTGAGCAGTAAGACAGGAAGCAAGGGGAATGGGCCGTGGCAGCGATGGAAAGGGCCACGCTGAGATTGCGCCTACGAAAAAGAAAAACAGAGTCGGCCAGTGAATAAGACAGCGGTTAGCTATTTATGCTGTATCAGAAGACTAAACCAAGTTATGGCCCGGCCATAAACTAACCCACGCCCCAAATGAGGTGCCAAGCCACAAGAAGCATTTGCGTCAACTGGGAATACATGGAAAAGAGTGCCTTCTAATTATAGAGGCTACAAACGGAAGCGCAGAGTGATTAGGAGTTTAGGCGCTGCGGTATGTTTATCTGGGAGCTTCCTCTCCCTCACCCCGCCGCCCTGCCGCTCTCGCGCTCACCCTGGCTTTGACAGATGAGGCTTGGCCAGCTTGTTGGGACACAAGTTTGCTGATGGTACACTCTGCTCTCCAAAAGCCAGTGGAGAATGGAAACCAAGCGCTGGGGCTTTTGTGGCCTTGTCGAAATACAGGGCCTCGCAAAGAGGCGTCAGTTGGTTAGCCTGTGGGAAGCTAAATTAAAAAGAGAGCTTCTCTGTGCTGGTAAGCTTCCATAAAATTTCAGGAACCTAAGATGTTAAAGCAATTTTTGACACATACTATTTATAACACCTCGTACTCTAGGCAAAAAATATATATATATTTATGACTTTTAACTAGACACCGTGTGGGCAAACGTATTTATATTTCAAATATTTGAAGAACTAATGGGATAGTTCACCCAAAACTTAAAACTCTGTCATCATTTACTCACCCTCATGGCATTCCAAATTTGCATGACCTTCTTTCTTTTGTGGAACACAAAAGAAGATATTTTGAAGAACATTGGGGTTCAAACAACATCGGACACTATTGACTTTCAATGTATAAACAAAAAATAAATACAATTGATGTTTTCAAATGTTCCACAAAAGAAAGTAATTTAGTTTAGGAATGACATGAGGGCAATTAAATGAAGATTTTTTGTTGAATTATCCCTTTAAAAACCCGTTGCACCCAGTAAATGTACACATACTGGATTCAGCTAGACTAAAAAATTAACGTGACATTTTAAAAAGAAAAATTCTTGCTTCAGGCATTTTCACACCTGGCTCATTAAAACATCACTGCTTTCTGGAACATAAACAGGTGCACTCTGACCAATGAGAGGACCAATGAGAGGACACTCTGACATGTTGCCCAGTGAAAGTGAACCAAACCATAGAGGAAATGCAGCACTGTAATAATTTAAGTTCCTGTTTAAGTAACACCCTAAAATTTAACTTTTAAAATGCATGTAAATGTATGAAGTTTTACTGAAAGTTTTGTTCTGAAATCATACATCAAAAGCAGTTCACTTCCACAAGTTAGGACGGATTGCATTCATATTAACTGCAAAACACACCGCAGTTCATATGAAACGTACCCCAGAACACCCTTATCAAACAGGTTTGGCTGTTTCACAAACACACAACTCGACAAATCGAAATTTGACACCAAAAGACCTTGAGTCTGCACCAAAAGCTGTAGTGAGTGACCATGGCTTCCTTTTTCATAGTTTTGTTGTACCTCCCTTAACAAGTCTTTAAACAAAACATCTGCTGAACTTCCACACAGCGATGTTTTATTTCAAAAGTGTCTGAGCCATTCTCCCCGACTGACTCCGATGATCTCAGCTGCCTGACAAGCAGAGGCCTCCAACTTGGCAAAGTCTGAGAACTGAAACAAAAGTATCCCTTTCAAATTAACAGCACTCGCCTAAGACCTTTGAAAAAGAGGAAATCTCAAATTATAAACATGTGGATAAACCTTTAAAGGGCGGACGCTGGGAATCGTTGTGCTCTAATACCGCAGACACGAACTTTACGCAAGAAAAAAAAAGAACAAATAAACACATCAATCACTGTGTTTTGTCCTTGTGGCTGCCCGCATTAGTTGTAAAAGCACAACCGTGCGTGCATGTGTTTGTGGTCCTTTGTGAGTCCATTGGACGGCTTCCTCTTCTGTCATGCTGCACTTGTGGAGGTGTTTATGAAAGCTGTGGAACACACACACACACACAGGGTTGCACATCTCACATCAAAGCCACCCACTCAAGCCTGGAGCGAGCAACACTCACTTAGTCCAGAGGCCACCCTTACTCCAACCATCAGATAACAGTACGAAGAAGAGGAGGAGACCGGCATGGGTCAACATGCAGTCAATAACTTGTTAATCTTTTACAGACTAAGTGAGAACTTCTAAAAGCTGGGCTGTTTGATCCCAACCTGGAGGCGGCTTGTGTTTGTGTGTGTGTGTGGAGTCGAGGACGGGGTGGCAGATTGGGGCCTGGCGCGGTGACTGTGCAGTGTTTTGCGGTGAGCCGGGCAGATGTAATGCCGTCTCCAGTTTCCATTCCTCTGGGCAGCAGGGATGACTGCTGCGGATTCCAGAGGGGGCTTGTGAGCACGTCTCACAGGCTCGTGTGGCCAGGGATACTGTTTATCTAGGCACGTTGGTACCAAGGATATGCTTTTTAAACATGGTACACTGCTCCTGTGGGCATGCTGGCTGGAGAGGCACTCAACGCTCTTAGCTACGAAACCACATCCACAATTCAATTGAGGGCTTTGAGGAAGAAAAGGGGAAAAACTTGGTGGGAGGAGGAAAAAGGTGCCCACGGTTCATTTGATGCACATTCGAGTGTAACGAAGGAGAATGTTTATGTATTTGCTTTACAGCCATACCACCTGTAAGCGCTTGAATATTAATAGATCATAAAGGCCTTTCTCGGCAGGAGGCAATCATTACTTAAATACAACACTTCAACGAAATTCTCCTTCTAGAGAATCAGTGTAACCAAGGTGACCACGAGGTCACATCCATTAAGGAAGGATGGAAGTGTAGGTTATCACTAGGCCCACACAGAATCTGCACACTTTTTACTCACATTTCCTGAGCTGATTGTGGGAGGAAATCTGTTTCATATTATGGGCATAAGACTTTTCTGGAATGAATGAGATGTTATTTATTGCGATCAATTAATGTGATTTTTTTTTTTTAATAACATTAGAAAATAATTAAATATTTAAAAACAGATGTGTACTGTCAAGCATCAACATTTTTACAAGACTTCTAAGAGTAACATGAAGATGATTTCCCTATGTGTTGCCACTGTGGTCTGGAGAAAAAACAAAAATGTGTTACAACTGTGGTAGAATTTTCTGATATTAGAAGATTAGAAGTTAAACCAGTCAGTTTAGCATTTTTACAATTTGCTGCAGGCCAAATTACAATTTTATGTACCACAAAAAAAAACTGTTGTGGGAGGCATTTGGCAAGTGCTAATTGTGAACTTTTATATATTTTAGTCTTTAGGTAACAATTCACTCTTTTAGGTTCTTCTTATGGATCTGTCTACGGCCACAAAATGCAGCTGATGCTTGACAGCAGTACAAATCTATTTTACGCTCAGTGGTAGAAAAGCACAGTCTCCTTGAAAAGCTTAGTCAGCCTAAAACAGGCCTTTTTGTGATTTTTAAAAGCCCCATATAAATGAGCTAAACCACAATCTCT